CAGTGACACAGGGTGGTGGGTGGCTATGCTCCATCCTTGCACGCCACACATGTACCCCCTAGGGCCTTTCCAAGTACCCTGGGGGTACGCGTACCCCTGGTTGACAACCCCTCTAATAGCTGATTCAATCAGCTATTAGAGAAAAACGCCAAAAAAAGCCCCGCTAAAGTGCCCGATGTATACAGATGTTGGGCAAGCGGGGTCCAATTAACACAATGCAAATGCCTCTTCTGGACATGTGCTAGGGGTGCAATGAGTTTAAAGTAAAGCGGCAGTTTTTTAGCGTCTGTAAGCAGTCATAATCGTGGCTGTCCTTGAAGTTGGGAGAACCCATGCATGCAACTTGGTTGGGAATGTGGGTTGTAGCCTTTAAGTGAAACATTTATATGATGGTGCACTCTTTATGAGCCCTACCACACTCAGACAATTGAAAAGGTGAAATCTGTTTTTTAAGTTTGCAGTATTTTTCATCCTGTCTCATTGAATTCTTCTTTTTGTAAGAAGAAAGTAATCTAATGGTAGCTGTGCGCACGGGGTGGGGGGGTGTGTGTGTGTGTGTATAAAGTATTCTAAAATTCTTTATTTTTTTTATCCAGGGGCAGCTGCAAAACATTTATAGATTCATATAACTCCTCTGATAAAGGCAAAGGGAAGAGTTTCCTTTCTGTGAGCACTCCATCCAACCGAAGTCAGAATGCTGCAAAGAGGAGTCCAGCAACGTACAGCCACTCTCAGAAAAAACACAAATGTTCAGTTTACTATAGTAAACAAAAAGCAAGCACAACACCTGGCAGTGTCATCACAACTACTGATGAAAAACAGAATCAGACTGTAGAGAACCAAATCTCACTACCAAAAGAGAACGTTTGTACTGATATTGTTGGTGAGAACTGGGTAACCCTAAAATATGCAAATGGCATAAATATAAACATGCAAAAAAATTTAACTCTTTCAGGAAACTTTCTAGATAAAGAAGAAAGTGCACTGAAAAATAAAGTTCTCATGAAAAATACTTCTTCAGAGTGTGATTTGAAGGAGGATGTTGAAACATGTATGTTTCCTAAGGAAACTAACCTTAAAATTTCAGAAAAAATAACTGAGCTTAAAGAACAGGAGTTCTGTCCTGTGAAGACATCTAAGAAGCTACCTGAAAGTCACTTGTCAAGAAATTCACCTCAACAGCAACCAGAATTGCAAGAAGTTTCCAGGAAAAATAATGGTAATCTTTCCATTTTACATTTTTGGAAACTATTTGACCTAGGCAAAATCCTGGATCCAATGAAATTTGTTCTCCATATGACTCTTGTTTTTGATAGTTTGATAGCATGTTTGCAAGCAACAAGGTCTCTTCAGAAAAATTATTTTTTGTCATAAATAAAAGCAACAATGATTTTTTTTTTTTTTCTGATGAAGTTTGCAGTTGAAAGCAGACTTTGTGGATCTGTGTGATTGTTTCAGGGCTTCACACAAAATCTGGGCATAAACCCATGCACTTGTAAGAATTAAAATAATGCTTAGAAATAACAGTGTTGTGATCGTAGTTGTGATGATAAATACAGTTTGCCTTTGGTTAGGTATTTGGGTGGTTTGGCCTGGTGAAAATCTGGAGGCATGATTTTTTTTTATTTAGGGCTGTTGAGCAAAAAGGGTTCTCGTTGACTTTATTTGAAATTACGGGTGCTTAGCACTCTTCAAAAGAAAGGCACCTCGTTTCTGCAATTTTGTAACATAGAAAGACCAAAAGCTTCTGTCGGCATATATTTGAAAACTCTCATATTTTTAGGAATTCACCAGTTGCCATTTCTATCTCTGAATACAGATATACATAGTTTATGGTTTTCTGATTATATGTCTAGCTTCCCTGGGCAATCTTACACCTTTTTGAGGAGGAGTTTAGGACGTCGGAGGAATGCTTTTTGTGCAAGGTTTCACTTGAGAATTGGCAAAAGCAAACCTACTAAGTGAGAGCCAAGAATTGCCAGCTTTGTCTTGTTGAGGTCATGCTAACTCTGTCCTGTCTGTTGCAGGGGTGATTTTAGTGGTTGAACATGAGGCTAGATGTAAAGCTTTGTTACCGAATAACTAATATTGGGGCGTTACTCACTACTGTGTTTCCCTATATGATATGTTAAATGAAGATTGTAACCTGCTGTGCTTCTCCCCCTGAGCATCGCGTGTCTGGGTTTCTTTCAAACCTCGCCGTCGCCTTTGGGGTTGCACGGCCAGGCTACTGGGAGCGGCCTTGGGTCAGCTCCCCAGGGGTCTCGCCTGCCATGCCTTTGATGGTAATTGGTTTTCTGGCGGGAGAATGGTGTCTGATCCTGTCTTCCCTGGTACTCTCCTTTGGTCGTCTTTGCAGATATTGCTTTTCGGGGCTCCACCTCCCCTACACCGCGCCTAACGCCAACCGTGATGTTGTCTGTTGGGGCCAGTGTTCTGGCCCTCACTGGCGCTCAGTTTCTTAGGGGCTGCGGCTGTGGGCTACAGGTTGTACTTGCACCGAGTGTCCGCCACTGCCCTTCTGTGCTTCCTGGCTCACATGGTGCCTGACTTTGCCTGGGCCTTGGGCCCCCTTGTCGCGTTGTTCCCTCCCCGGGTTTGGTACCTGTCGTCTGCTTCCGGTCCCCCCAGCTTCCTTCCCATCGGGCCTTTTATCCTGGCACCGGGTGGCCACCCAGCCAATTGCCCCCAGTGCGCTTTTACAAAGCGTGCCCAAATAGACGCGGGAGCCGTTCCCGGCTCCTCCTGGCTCCACTGCGGGTTTTCCTTTTGATCTTTGTCCGCAGCGGCCGCCGCGGTTTCACTTTTGCTGCTACCAACTGCCGGCGCGGCGTCTCGCCGCCTCTCTCCCACCTCCGGTAAGTTTCCTCCACAGAGATAATACTGTTTACCTGTCTCTGAGATGTTAGCAACTTTCATCATGTTTGTAAAGTGTTTTTAAATTCTTTAGATGCTGTAGAACCAGGGCTATCCAGTTAGTGGCCTGTGTGCTGCATCTGACCCTCAAGGGGTAAACCTGAGGCCCCTGAGCTCCTGGTTCAAGCGCTGTTCCTTTTTCCTGCTGCCCTTCCCTCCTCCAGCTTCTGCTGCTTCGCCCTGCTTGTAGCCTATGGGGTGAGGGAGCCTGTGGCCAGGGGCTCAGGGGAACCAAAGTTTGGCGCGGGGGCACCAATGCAGTGCAGCAGGGGTTGTCCACTACATGGTGGGGGCCAGGAAGGTACATGGCATAGTACAACTGGGGCATGTGGCCTGCATGCTGGTTTAAAAGTTCAAGTATTGTTGTTAGTCCTCGAATATTTTGAAAACGGCACAAAACAGATTAAAATCATTTACTTGAATCAGATTACTTTAATTATTTATAACAAATAACTGAGCGCATTAACTTTAGCTATAGTCTCCAGATAACAAATTTTGTACATAAATCAGATGGGAGATGGCATCATCTTCCTTTAACTGTCATTATATGAGTAACAGAAGTAAATGATTACTGCAGCAATTATATGCTGGGTTTTTTATTATTACAGCATAAAACTTTAACAAAGTATTTCCAGGCTTCTGGATTAAGTGCTGTCCTCAGCCTGATTGGGTTCAAACTCATGTCCCCCAGGAAAGTGCCTGATTACTTGACTAGAGGCAAAGCTGGAATAGGGGCACCTGTCACCTGACCTGTTAAAACGTATCTGTTGTGCAGCCAAGAACACAGGATTCATGGTTCAGAGAAAAAGAAAGCAAAAAGGAAGATGAATATTTGTGCAGGTAGCCCAGTAATGAGGGCACTCCTTTGGGTCCCAGTCATTGCTCTCAATACTGTTTGCTGCATGAATCTCCTACAGAATGCTTTTGTAGTCCTTGAAGCAGGCTCCAGAACTCAGGATTCCCCCCGTCAAGGAAATTCCTTCGTTATGAAGCTACAAAATCATGCCAGTTTGGGCTGACTTGTGGTTCTGTGGATCTTGTATTTACTGTTCATTGACCTGGCTTTAAGAAGAGGGGAGAGAATGCCCTTATGCTAGATTTGACTGTTTCCTAGGGGTTAGAGTATTATCCTGGAATATGGAAGCTGTTGGCTTTGAGCCCCTTCAGTCTGAGAAGGACCTTTAACCCAGGCCTCCCACTGCCTGGGTGGATGTTGTCACTTAGGCAAACACCACCACCTGCATTTTAAAAGAAAAAAAGTGAGCCCTAGTCACTTAGCCACACATAGCCAAGTGATTTAGGCACCTAACTCCAGGAAGTGGATTATTGGTCTCAGGTAAGTGCCTAACTAAAGGTCTAAGTCGAGGAGAAAGGGAAGCATCCAATATCTCTTCTTTCTTTGATATTTCCTTTGACTGGTGTAGGAGCCCGCCTGTCTCTCATTTTGTGCGTTGCTTGGTTGTGAATCCTGTTCTTAGGCACCTCACTCAGATTTGTTAATTTAATTTCCAAAGCTGATCATTGCTACTTCCCAGTCCTTTTGTAGATCCCGGCCCCTATTATTGAATGTTAAAGAACTAAATGAACTGTTTATTTCACTCCTGGATCTGTTGGTGTTTCCTTGTTATCCAAGATTTTGTGGTTTACTTTTTAAGTGGTTTGGTACTGCAGAATAAATTTATGTCACATCAGTGGGGAAAAGGCATGGCTATTAATTACAGAGGCACCAAGAAGTCTTTAGGAAACAATTTACTCCATGTGTTACAGTCTGGGGATGTGACAGTGTTTTTAAAAGATTAGCAATATGTCTTTTGATTCAAAGCTGAGACCTTCCTCACTGCTTTATTATGTGATATCCCAGATAAAAGCCCATCTCCATCCTCTCTAATCACTGTTCATGTATTTGAAGACTTTCAAACAGTCCCTCTCCTCCCCCCTGCTTCTGCTGACTAAATAACCTAGCCCTAGATCTTTTTAGCCATTCCTTATAAGTCTAGTTTCCCAAGCCCTTAATCATTTTTGTTGATTACACTGAACTCTTTCCAAACTGTCCACATAATTCTTGAAGTATGGGTCCCAAAATTGGACACAGCATTATTCCAGGTGAGGCCTCTCATTCTTCCTCACCAGGAAGAATTACTTCCCTTGGGTTGTTAGTGACGCTTCTGTTAATACAGTCCAAGATGCTGTTGGCTTCTTTTGCAACAAGAGTACACTGTTGGATCGTATTCAACGTGGGGCCCACTGTAACCCCTTGGTCTTCTCTGCAGTACTGCAGTTTAGTCAGTCATTCTCCAATGTGTGTTTGTGCATGCAGTTATTCCATCCCAAGTGCAAGACTTTGCACTTGGTCTTGTTGAAGGACATCTGATTGATTGCAGACAATTTCTCCAGTCTATTCAGGTCATTCTGGATCTAGCCCCTACCCTCCAGTGTCTCCAATTCCACCCAACTTCGCGTTATCTGCAAATTTTCACTCAATCCCATCATTCAGATTAATAATAAAGACATTGTATCATACCAGACCCAAGACAGAGCCCTGAGGAACCCCATTTGATACCTCTTCCATAGTAGACATTGATGACTGTTGGTTGACCACGATGATCTAACCAGTTATGTAGCAGTGTTACAGTAATTTGCATCTAGCCTGTATGTCTATAGCTTGCTAATGAGAAAGTTGTGGGAGACGGTGTCAAAAGCCTTGCTAAAGTCAATATCACATCCATTGCTCTTCCCCACAGAGCCTGTCAGCCTATCATAAAGGAGGTCAGGATGGTCAGGCATGACTTGCTATTGGTGAATCAATGCTGGCTGTTCCTGATCACCTTGTTCTCCTCTGTGTTTCACAGTTGATTTCCTGAGGACCTGCTCCATGATCTTTCCAGGTATTGAAGTCAGACTGGCTGGTCTTGTAGTTCCCCAGATCTTTTCTCCTCCCTTTCTTAAACATGGGGTCTGTATTATCCCTTTTCCAATCATCTCAAACCATTATCCAATTTCTACAAATTCTGAAAGAGGATAGCTAATGGCTCTGGAATTACTTCAGTCAATTCCTTTAGTACCCTAGGGTACATCCTTGTTGACTTGAAAACATGTAGCTTTTCTAAGTCATCCCTAACTTGTCTGCTGTTACTCTAGGCTGTTTGTCTTCTTCCCTATTTTACTGCCAACTGAACTTGTCATCTGATAGCTACCCCTTTTTATGAAGACTGAAGTAAAAATGCATTAAATACTTCAGGCTTCTTTGTATCTTCTGTAACTAGATTGTTTTCTGCATTTTTGATAAGGGACCTGTCCTGATCACTTTTCACCCCTGTGAGGTAGGTCAATATTAAACCTGGAAAAACCACAAAGGGATAATAAGGTACAGAGTAATTTTGTATACTGGTTTCAACTAGATTATAATATTATTTCACAAGTAAGCATCCTTTATCAAGTAATTTTTATTCCAGTCTGGTACTGACTAGTGCTCACCTGACTGAGCATGATTGTAGCTGAAGCACAGGGGAAGCATACATTAGTATTGTTAGATATGAAGTTACTGTTTGATGCTGGTTTTAGGATGTTTATGTAGCAGTGTTAGCTTTTGGATTTTTTTTAGTATCATCAGCAAAACAAAAACTGATTTAATATTTGGGTGTTTTGGAAAGCATCCACAGTTGAAAATGTTAGTCTAGAGGGAAGGGGAATTTCAGGAAAAGTGCATGGAAGGCTCATGACCCTCTCAAACTGTTTCTATTGTTCCATTCCAGGAAACAACCAGCAAGTGCCTCTCAGGAATGAAATAGAAAACTGTGAGACTTTGAAAAAACAGATTAACACAAAGCCTTCCACTGAGAAAAAGATTAGTAAAGGACCCAAGGAAGAAATTCCCTGCTGTGGAAAACAGGAACTTGCGTCAGTTGAGGTTTGTGTTACTTGGATCTTTTTTTATTGTCATATTTAAAATGCTTTTAAAAAGTGAGAGAGATTAGTAAAGTTACGGATTACATCCCTAAACCAGCTTACTGAAAATGTGATGAATGAGCAAAATCCTGGGTTGTGCTATTTCATGATATATCCTCGGATTATACTTAATGCAGTAATACTAACTATACCACAGACCGTTTCTCCTGCTTTTAATATTGGGGAATGCATGCACACACATATACCCTGTGATGTGAATCTAACTCCAGATATCAGCTAATCTCGAGAGCAGAGCTGTAAACTAGGTTTGCTGGGGGATAGAGACCAAAGCCCTGAGGTAAGTGGGAAAGCGGAACACCTGGAGGAAGAGCGAGCAAGTGGGCAACAGGGGAGGTGCTCTCATGCTTCCTGAGAAATCAGGGCAATCAACTAGTTAGCTCAGGTGTCTGTACACAAATGCATGAAGCCTGGGAAATGAGCAGGAAGAATTGGAAGTCCTTGCACAGTCTTGGAACTATGACATGATTGGAATAACAGAGACATGTTGGGAGCTGGCATGACTGGAGCACTGTCATGTATGGGTAAAAACTGCTCAGGAAGGGCAGGCAAGGGAGAAGAGGAGGAGGAGTTGCACTTTATGTAAAATAGTCATATGATTGCTCAGAGCTCCAGTACGAAATTGGAGATAGGCATGTTGAGAGTGTGTTTAAGGTCAGATGGGAGAGAACAAGGGTGATGTTTTGGTGGGGGTCTGCTATAGACCACCAGACTAGGAGGAAGTGGTGGATGAGGCTTTCATCAAACAGCTAGTGGATGTTTTCATATCACAGGCCCTGGTTCTCATGGGGAACTTCAGTCACCTTGACTTCTGCTGGGAGGTCAATATAGCAGTGCACAGGCAATTCAGAAAGTTCTTGGAGACTATTGGGGACAACTTCCTGGTGCAAGTGCTGGAGCGGCCAACTAGGGGCCATGCTGTTCTTGACCTGCTGCTCACAAATAGGGATGAATTGGTGGGGAATGTAGTACTGGATGGCAGTGTGGGCAGCAGTGACCACAAAATGATTGAGTTCAGGATCCTGAGGAAAAGAAGGATGGAGAGCAACAGAGTAAGGACCCTGGACTTCAGAAAAGCAGGCTTTGTCCCGCTCAGAGAACTCATGGGCAGGATCCCCTGAGAAGCCAGTCTGAGTGGGAGAGAAATCGAGGAGAGGTGGTTGTACCTTAAAGAGGCATTGCTAAGAGTGCAGGAACAAACCACTCTGATGCTCAGGAAGACTAGCAGGTATGGCAGAAGACCAGCTTGTCTTAGGGAACTCTTCAGTAAATGAAATCACAAAAAGAAAGCTTATAAGAAGTGGAAACTTGAACACATAACTAGGGAAGAATATAAGAGCATTGCTTGGGCATGCAGGGATGAAGTCAGGCAGGCCAAAATGCAATTGGAGTTGCAGCTAGAAAGGGATGTGAAGGGTTTCTACAAGTATGTCGGTAGCAAGAGGAGGGTCAGGGAAAGTATGGGTCCCTTACTGAATGGGGGAGGCAACCTTGTGACAAATGATGCAGAAAAGACTGAAATGCTCAATGCCTATTTCACCTCAGTCTTCACAGGCAAGATCAGCTCCCAGCCTACTACACTGGGCAGCACAGTTTGGGGAAGAGGTAAGCAGCTCTCAGTGGTGAAAGAACAGGTTAGGGACTACCTACAAAAGCTGGACATGTACAAATCCATGGGGCCAGATGGGATGCACCTGAGGGTGCTAAGGGAGTTGGCTGATGTGAATGCAGAGCCTTTGGCCATTATCTTTGAAAACAGATAACTCATGGTCATGAGGAGAAGTCCCGGATGACTGGAAAAGGGCAAACATAGTGCCCATATTTAAGAAAGGGAAAAAGAAGTATCCAGGGAACTACAGACCAGTCAGCCTCACCTCATTTCTAAGCACTTGGAGAAAAAGGTGATTAGGAGCGGTCAGCATGGATTCACCGGGGGCAAGTCATGCTTGACCAACCTGATTGCCTTCTATGACAAGGTGACTGGCTCTGTGGATGCAGGGAGACCGGTGGATGTGGTATACCTTGATTTTAGCAAGGTTTTTTCATATGGTCTCCCATGGCATTCTCGCAGGCAAGCTAAGGATGAATGGATTGTAAGGTAGATAGAAAACTGGCTGGAGCATTGGGCTGAGAGAGTTGTAGTCAATGGCTTGATGTCTAGTTGGCAGCTGGTATCAAGTGAAGTGCCCCAGGGGTTGGTCCTGGGGCCGGTTTTGTTCAACGTCTTCATCAACGACCTGGAAGATGGAATAGAGTGCACCCTCAGCAAGTTTGCAGATGACACCAAGCTGGGGGGAGTAGTAGATATGCTTAAGGGGTAGGAATAGGATTCAGAGCAACCTAGACAAATTGGAGGATTGGGCCAAAAGAAATCTCATGAGGTTCAACAAGGACAAGTGCAAAGTCCTGCACTTAGGACACAACAGTCCCATGCATCAGTATAGGCTGGGGGCTGACTGGCTGGACAGCAGCTCTGCAGAAAAGGACCTGGGGGTTACAGTGGATAGTAAGTTGAATGTGAGCCAGCAGTGTGCCCTTGTTGCCCAGGAGACTAACAGCATATTGGCTTCATTAGTAGGTGTTTCCAGTAGGTCAAGGGATGTGATTCTTCCCCTCTATTCAGCACTGGTGAGGCCACCTCTGGAGTATTGTGTTCAGTTTTGGGCCCCCAACTACAGAAAGGATGTGGACAAATTGGAGAGAGTCCAGCAGACGGCAACAAAAATGGTGAAGGAGTGTAGGGACATGACTTACAAGGAAAGACTGAAGGAACTGGGCTTATTTCCTCTAGAGAAGAGGAGACTGAGGGGGGACTTAATAGCAGCCTTCAACTATCTGAAGCAGGGTTTGAAAGAGGAGAGAGCTAGACTGCCTCAGTGGTGGCAGATGACAGAACAAGAAACAACGGCCTGAAGTTGCAGCAAGGGAAGTTCAGGTTAGATATTAGGAAGAAATTTCTCACTAGGAGAGTAGTAAAACACTGGAACAGGTTACCTGGAGAGGTGGTGGAAGCTCCATCTTTGGAGGTTTTCAAAACCTGGCTAGACAAACCTTTGACTGAGATGATCTAGTTGGGGCTGGTCCTGTTTTGAGCAGGGGGTTGGACTAGATGACCTGAGGTCCCTTCCAACCCTAACTTTCTATGATATCAACTTCCAAATCTGCTCCCCACCCCCTTTATTTTATTTTATTTTATTTTTTTTACAAGATGAATCTCCATACGTGGATCTGTTAGAAACTGAATTTGAAAGTGGAAAAAACTAAATTCACATACAGAAAACACTATATAATAAGAATATGAGACAATTGTAAAAGGTAACCATTCATCCATAGTTTTACAGAGCATTTTGCAGAAACTAAGGCCCCTGGCACATATTCATTTAAAGCTGTCATAGGGTGCAATCCCCTATTCCAGTGGTGCGATCCCCTATACCTGTATTGTAGAAAGTGAAGTTTTGGGATCACAGATCAGATTCCAGTCACACTCCTTCTACTTTCCAGTACAAGGGGAGTGTGGAATCATGATCCCTTACACTGACAAGTTGAAAGCCAGGTACCCATAGCCCAATGTGACCTAGGGCTGTTGAGGGGCTGATAATCAGCTGATTTGGTACAGTTTATTGTGCAGTTATCAAGTTAATCACAGCCTAAATGTAACATGTACAGGGGCCCAAAGTATTATAACTCCCATGGTTTAAATCGCACCTTCAAGTCACTGGCAGATCCCTGGAGTTCAGATTCAGTCCTTGATTGGTCAGTCTGTTAGCTTTCTGTTTATGGACATCTGTCATAATGAATTGAATGCCATATTTGAGAAGCACAGAATAAACGATGCTTGCTTGGTTTCCCTTTTCCCTTCCTCCCCACCCCCCACTAGAAAATGAAGTTACTTACAGCTTTTGGGCATGATCTACTGCTTTTTATTATTAGTGGTGGTGGTGATCAGTTTTGTGTTTAATCCCAGTATAAATTAAATCTTAAATTAACGTATCTGTTACTTAATTTATCCCCATTATTTCTTCAGTATAGTAATTCAAATGAGCAGATGGACACCACCACAAGTAATAGAAGAGAGGATTTATTGCTGCTGAATTTGCTCACAAGCTGATCATAAATCTGGCAGATTTTGGGGCGGTTTTTTTGCACATTGAAGTATTTTATAGACTATTTTCCTCCCCCAAAATTCTACTTCCTGAAAGAAATAGAGAAGGAAAGATGCTGAAGAGAAACTGCTGATATGGGGCTTCAGAAATTTGATGTTCGGCTTTCATCAGCGGTTAAAACAAAGCGGGGGCGGGGGGGGATGGGACTGAATCTAGAGCTGACAAATGAATTTGATGATCTGGGAAAGTGAAGTGCTAGGACAGGCACTAAATCCTGCAGCAGCTATGAAACTGAGCCATTTTGTCCAAAGTACTTTACATTGGTAGTTTTATCTAGGTAAATTTATATGGTAACTTTGGTCCTAAGTTATGTGTTGTCTCTCTAATTCCTTTTTTTTACATTTCAGCAAGAAGATGCTTACAGAAAGAAGAAATCTCAGGAGAAAAAAGAAGGAAGTTTGACAAATATGAATTGGAATAGAAATAGAACATCTAGAAGAAACAAGAAAAAGATTGGCAGTTTATCTACAAGGTGTGTATTACAGCCTCAAATGGAATCATAGAATCATAGAAAATGATGGTTGGAAGGGACCTCAAGAGGTCATCTAGGCACCCCCTGGTCACAGCAGGACCATCTCCAACTAGATCATTCCAGCCAGGGTTTTGTCAAGCTAGGCCTTAAAACCCCCCAAGGATAGGGATTCTACTACCTCTAGGTAATCTGTTCCAGTGCTTCACCACTCTCCTAGTGATAACACTTTTCCTGATATCCAACTTAAACATTCCTTGCTGCAACTTGAGACGATTGCTCCTTGTTCTGTCGTCTGCCACCACTGAGAACAGTCTAGCTCCATCCTCTTTGGAACCCCCCTTCAGGTAGTTGAAGGCTGCTATCAAATCCCCTCTGTCTTCTCTTCTGCAGACTAAATAAACCCAGTTTCCCCAGCCTCTCCTCAGAAGTCATATGCACCAGCCCCCTAAACAATTTTCAGTGCTCTCTGCTGAATTCTCTCCAACTTGGCCACATCTTTTCTATAGTGGGGGATCCAAAACTGGACACAGTACTCCAGCTGTGGCCTCACCAGTGCAGAATAGAGGGGAATAATTACTCCCCTTAATCTGCTGTCAGCGCTCCTACTAATGCAGCCCACTATGATGACTGTAAACAATAGAGAAACCAAAGATATTTTCATTCCTAGATTAATGGTTTCTCTCTAGTATTAGTATAATACCTAACGCAGATTATTTGATGATACATTTAAGTTAAACAATAATCCATGTCTAAAATTTTCTTATTAAAACATATATTACTAAATGTCGCAGGAAAAATATGCACGCATACATATATGCCTGAGTGTATTGTGTCAAGTAATCTCTCTGGAGTTCTCATGGTTTCAGTGAGAGCCTGTATTGTTGTAAAGTGCAGCTGGGATAGATCTCGTCATAGGTTCAAGACAGTATTTAGGATTTAGAAGAATTTTGGTTCTTCACCACTATTTGTGCCTTTGAAACCTCAGCCCGAGTTCCTCAATCCGTTCTTGGGCTTTAGACTAAAGGGAGACAAACATCCAGAAACCTGCATGACTAAAAAGAAATAACACAATAATATTAATTTAAAATTGCAAAGCACAGTTTATCTTCCCTTTTGTGAATCCACACATGCCTTGTAAACAGATTTTTGATTGAAAGGTAATTGAGAAATTTGAGTATTTACATCTATGCCCTAGTTGATGTTAATTGGTTCTCATTAGAGACTGGAAATGTGCCTATTTTAGACTCATAGGGTTAGTTTCCTTCCCATTCTGCTGTCACTGGATAAAATCCAATACGTGTTCCCTTTAGAAAAGAGAGTCCATTAAAGTGATTCCAGGTTTTTGCAACAGATCATCTTGTAACTTATTTTAAGGAATTTTATCTTTGTGGTTGAGAGAGTTGTTTCCTTCCTTAAAAAAAAAAAATCAGTGTTTTCTTTACCAAATACAGTGATTAAAATTAACTTTTAAAAGAGGAAGTTTGGTATACTACATAGAAGCTGACTAACTAACTTCATTGTGGTTTGTAGACAAATATGACAAGAAGTTAAAGTAACGTTAGGCTGACAGGAATAGTAGGAGATCCTGGGAAATATTTTTGTAAAGGTTTCTTTCATGTTTACTTGAATAAAGGTTTTAAAGGAAGTTGTGATTTTTTTTTTCTTATTTTTTGTTGTCAGTATTAAAATTATTCATGTTGTTTGTGTTGTAGTAACCTCTAGAGATGCCAACTGGAATGTGGTCCCCAGTATTCTATGCAGTGCTCACACATAAAAGCCCAATGACCTTAGAAATAAGGCAACAGTCCTTCAAAGATATACCAGTTACTAAATTTATGCAACGAGAGTAGTCCTGTTGAAGTCAGTGGGAAGAGAGTAAGAGACTGGAAAATCAGGAGGGACCATTGTTTCAGGGTCTGCATTGTTTCAGACTGCATTCAGGGTAATGCAGTTTGCTCTTGGTATGTAAAGTTAAGCACATATGAAAACATCTGCAGGATCTAAGCTTATGTAGGTAGGCTGGACAAGGGTAGAAAAGACAGTGTTTATGGTGCCTTTGCTTCTTGAGTGCTAACTTAGTTTTCACTCTTTTTGGCCTACAGAAAAATAATTGAGCAGTTCTTCTGTTGCCAAGAACTCAGAAAGACCACACCTGTTGATTCCTATATGAAATCTCTGGGTTTACCTTGTGAATCATATTTGTAAACCCCGTGGTACCCTAGAAAGGATCTCAAGGCACCTAGGGTGCCGTGGCATGCTTTTAGGGCATATATTACTTCTGTTATACTCGTAGTCTGTTTTGATCCTTGTGTACTTTTCAACCATGTTTGTCACCAAAGGGTCTGAGGACCTTTGGGTAGTTCATTAGGGGAAAGTGATTGCTCATCTCTTTGTTCTTATATTAAATATAGTACAAGTGTAAACTATAAACGCATCATTTTTTGTTCTAGGGTTCCTGAACAGAGTGAAATGAAACATATGTGCAGTGAATTTGAAAGGCCTGAACTGAGAACTAATATTGGCATAAGAAACTGTTGTGCTCAGGACAATGGGGAAATGTTTAAAGCTGACCAGAAAGGTGGAAGTTTGTCTACGCAGGGAGAAACAGGTATGTAACTGTGATCGGTTTTGCACTGGGAAGAGAGAATACTTTGTCTCTGACACTGAAACACAGTGGGGGCTTTTATTCACCTTTTCCTCAAGCTGTGATCAGTTGAAGCAGATAAATTGACAGCCCCCAGGACTGCTACAAGAAACTTAGACAGGTTATGATATTCAAGCTGGAAACATATTTCCTGCCTGTTCAATTCTCTTTAATGTCCAGCTCTTTTTCCCAAGCTTGTGAGAAGGGGGAGGTTTAGGAAGGCATATGACAAGTTGATGATAATTGATAAAATTGATAATTGATAAAAGATCCATAATTAGTCAATAGAGGGCATGTGTAGACAAAGCGTGGGCCCTAAATTGAAGCGGTGGGTTTTAAAAACACCACTTCAGTTTAGGGCAAAGTAAACCCCCATGTCATGTACACCCGTGTCTTACCTGCCTCTCCAGTGGCGGGGAGGGGAGAGTGAGCTGACAGTGGGCAGAGTGGTCCCTGAGCTGTGGCAGGGCTGGTGCTTCCCTCTGTGGCAGTGCCTGCCCCTGCCTGCAGGCACCTGGCTTGGGCGATCCCACAGCCGTGGAGGGAAGGACTGGGTCCCCACGCAGCTCATGCAGGCTGCAGTGGTGGGGGAAGAAAAAGATCAGGCTAACCACTTTTTTTAATCTTTGGCGGAGCCTGCCTTCCCTGGCTGCTGCCAGGCTGCCTGCACAGTCCCTGAGCCGCACAGAGCCCGGTACTTTGCTCCACGGCTGTAGGGCAGCAAACTAAAACTCCTGAAAGGTGTTTTAGTTTGCTGCACCCCAAAGTAATTTAATATGCATTACGCCACCAAATGTGCTACAGCAGCTGGAATTAATGTGCAATTTGCCACCAACACCATTAAATCAGTACAAAAGCATTTAACCTGCTTTTAAGTGTTGTGCACACATGCCCCTTGTTTCACACCGTGGTTTGGGATAATTTTTCATGGTGCTGTAATTCAGATGTTAAGTTTCTCAGAGCAGGGCTTGTAATATTTTTAATGCATTGTATGTGTATGTCTGCAATGCTGTCAGTAAATAATGTGTTTGTCCCTGCTGAGTAGGTAGATTTAAAGAGCTAAGTACACATTTCAGACACTTTTTTCATTTCATTTTAAGTTTAAATGTAAACATTTTCTTCAATGCTTTTCAACTTCTTCAGAAAACTTTTATCAACGATCAAAGAAGTGTTTGGAAAAGTTTTGTTCTGATTCAAGTTCTGACTGTGGCAGTTCCTCGGGAAGCGTACGTGCCAGTCGCGGGAGCTGGGGCAGCTGGAGTAGCACCAGCAGCTCTGACGGAGATAGAAAACCTATAATGACACCCAGGCATTTTCTTCCATCAAGTAAGTTCTGGAAAAATACCATGTACAAAAGTATATGGAAAATGTTAGTATATTATTTTGGATAGTGAGAGGGACTGAAACTCTGAGGCCATGTTTGCTGCTCCTCCACAGAGCTGCTGTGAAGTACACACCAGCCAGTGCACTCCTGCTTTGCACACATCCGCCTCTGGAAATGAGGCAGTGTAGTTGTCCCGAAATAATGCTGAGCATGCCCACAGAACTACCCTTAGGTTCTGTCTTGGACTTGCTTATTGAAACACGCTCTGGCTCACTTGAAGGCATCTATATTGCCTCATTTCCAAGAGTCGGGGTGCATGGAGTGAGAATGAATGGGTGGGGTGTAGTTCTTAGGTCAGCACAGAGATGGGATAGAAAAGCTGTTAGAGGTTGCCTGCCTGTCATGGGTTAATAGATTCCAGTATTCATGGTGGCATTCATATGAGAAGGAATGTTTGGCTTTGAGCTTAGAAGTCTGTATTGTTGAAAAGGTTTTAGTCAGCAAATTTGCTTTCTTCCAACATGCTTTCTTTTTCCAGTTGAATCAGTATTTTTTAGTTTGGAGTGTTGCAGGGAGACAATAGATTTTGTTATTAGACAGCAAACAGAGACAGCACTCCTGTGTTGTATTTCTAGCTCTGCCACTACTTAGCTGTCCGATACCAGACAGTTCCACTTAATTTACAGTTGTCTGTATGTTTTCCAGGCTTGTTTCATGTTTGAGATTATTTGCATTTGGGTGTATTTTGTTAATCTATAACATGCACATCTATCTACCCTGCCTTCTAGCAGTTGCATTTGCAAAGTACTTAGAGAAACATTACAATTAATGTTTAATATAATGGATGAACTATAATATTTTGCTCCTTTTTAATCCAGTCATTGCAACTCCCAAGTCAGTAGTGAGATGGGATCACTCCTAAAAACTGGCAGAAATAACACAGCATCCAAAGGGGAACTGATGCACAGAGTAAGCTGCCTGAAAAATGATAGGAAAATATGAAGAGCCATAAGCAGTAAATGTAAAAGGTCAAAGAGAAATTGTGGATAAGCACATGAACTGTGTTCCCACAAGACGCCTGAGGAAGCTATACAATTAGTCACTCTTGGGAAGACTACAGAACTGATATCTGCTAACTCTACTCAGATATTAATGTAGTTCTGACCTTTAGATTATTGTTACTTTTGCAACAGTGTTTATGACCTAACATCTGTATATAGTAAAAGGAGCGTGGTATCTGGATTTCAAAGACGTGGGTAGACAGACAAGTCTTTCAAAAAAATTACTGGAAGTGTCTCAAAATCATGAGGATATGGATGGCCATGAGAATATGTATCCCAGATACATGGCAGAAGAACCCTAAACCACTTTGTACACGCCAGAAGCCACAATTATGCTTAGTCTTGTGGCATATTACTAGGAATGGTGAAAAGCTTTAGTGTCATTCACTGACATTGAGAGAGCACACTACAGCATGCAGAATGAACAGAATTTAAAGTTTTAAAAATAGTTTTCTAGGGACTGTTCTCTAGTGACACAGAAAAATTGTTTGCACATGTCTAGATGCTGTTTTGAATAATGTGAACTTAATTTACTGTCTGAGGAAAAAATATACCCAAAGCAGCTTCGCGATTAGAATTAGCCTCTGACCTAATTGAATGAATTGTGCCTGGATTTAATTTTTTTCTTTGTTTATTTTTGTTGAAACTTTTAAAAAAATAAACTTCTTTCAAATAATAATGCATAGATGGATATTGTACATGATAGCAGTAATAATTTATAAATTGATCATTTAACTAAAAAAAAAAAAAAATTCAACCATGTTTTTTCATAACACCACTCCATGAAAACACATACTCTTCTAATAGAATAATGCTTCTCAACTCTTTTTAATCCTTGGTCCCATAGTGTAACAAAAAAAAAAAATCAAGTCCCTTATCTCCCTAACCAAGTTGCCATAAAGACAGAAAAAAGGGTCTACTAAATCTGCATGGATATAAGAAATAAACAAGCATAACATTAACTGAGGGAGACTTTCTGAAATGCAAAATTCTTTTTGTAATATTTTATACTGAAAATAAGTTTATACAATGTTGTACATTTCTGTTTTCAAAACCTTTTGATTTCACAATCTTTGTTTTACTTAGGGGAGACTATTTCACAAAATGATTTTCCAACTGAAACTCCCATCACTTTAAATCTGTCTCATAACATCTGCAATACCAGGTACATTTTTAAATCTACCCTTACAATATATTAAAGAAATGTAATATATTCATGTAATGAATCCTTTTCTGTAGAAAAGGACCTGGGGGTTTCAGTGGACAATAAGCTGAATATGAGCCAACATTGTGCCCTTGTTGGCAAGCATGCTAACATCATACTGGGCTGCCCTGGTAGGATCGTTGCCAGCAGACCGAGGGAGGTGATTATTTCCCTGTATTTGGAACTGGTGAGGCCACATCTGGAGTACTGTGTCCAGTTTTTGGCCCCGCACTACAGAAAGGATTTGGACAAATTGGAGAGAGTCCAGCGGAGGGCAGTGAAAATGGTTAGGAGGCTGGTAAACATGATTTATGAGGTGAGGCTGAGGGAACTGAGCTTATTTAGTCTAGAGAAGAAAAGACTGAGAGGGGACTTACTTGCAGCCTTCCAGTACATACCTGAAGGGTGGTTCCAAAGAGACTGTATTCAGTGGTGGCGGATGACGGAACAAGGAGCAATTGTCACAAGTTGCAGCAAGAGCAATTTAGGATAGATATGAGGAAAAACTTTCTCACTATGAGGATAGTAAAGCACTGGAAGAGGCTACCTAGAGATGTCGTGGAATCTCCATCCTTGGAGTTTTTTAAGATCAGGGTAGACAAAGCCTTGGCTGGGATGATATGGTTGGAGCTGGTCTTGCTTTGAGCAGGGGGTTGGATTAGGTGACCTTCCTGAGGTCCCTTCTAAACCTAATTTTCTGTGATTCTATGAATATACTAAGGGAACACCGTACTCTTGGGAGTCTAACTAGCTAGTTTTGGTAAAAGCAGTTGTGTGTGCTATACCTGCCTGTTACTCGATGCCATTTTGAAGTCACACTTCTCTAGCTTTTAAAAAGCTTTACTGGTTTTGGAGCTTGGACATGGACTTTCCAGCCCCATTGAGTATTTTCTTTTCTACCATGAGCATAAACCTATCAACTAATAACTATTTTCAAAGCTGTATTAAAACCTGATATGAGGGTATAAGGCCTGGAGCTACCATGACCCATTGCAAAATAACCTTGATATTTGCAGGAATTGCCACCCTTGGGGGAGAGATCAGATGCAGAAAAGAAAGGTGTAGTCTCAGTGAGCAAAGCCTTTTCTTCTTCATTTTTGCTACTGACATAATTTCAATGAGTAAATTTTAACAGTACAGCATATTGACAGCTAGCCTCTTTGACCTCTTATGCTTAGCCATCATTAACATATAATGCTCATTCCAAATTCATTTAATCTGTCTGAGCCTGTACTTTCCTTTAGTCTCCACACGTGTATATTCCAATATTATTAGATACATCTGAGTAGTAAGGGTTGAGATAATCAGCACTTCCTTTTTTCCTCTTGTAATAACTGTGGGCAACTCTGCTTCATATGGTTTTTTGTATTGAAATGCTGACATTTTGTGGTTCTACCATGGCTCAGAATAAGGAGAATAGGCAAAGGTAAAGCCTAACTCATGTTAGCTATTATTTGGGTTTCTGCCACCTGCCCTGTTTAACACCATAAAACTTCCTGAATTTTCTTTTCCTAGAAAAGAATCACATGGGTATTTTAAATGTTTCACGATCAGATTTTCTTTCTGAAAAAAAAATCCTTTTTCTTAATTCAGCAGAGACATAAATACCATCCCCCAGTATCCAGAAACCCTGTGTCCCAACTTCACTGACATGACTGCAGATCCCGACAAGAATAAAGGTCGGTTGCTTTATATCAGCAGGTTTTACACTACTCATCATACACTAGTATGAGTGCTACACATGTTGTTACTTTAATGTGTGCACACACAAGCTGTACTGCAACAGACTGCTATGTTTGAGCCATGTATCTGAGAACTTTACTTTTTATTATTTTTCAAACAAATAGACTTCTCTAGCCTTTAATATAATCTTGATTTGTTTTATTGTACTCTTGCTGAGTGAAAGTAGCATCTAGCTTTAATTTTACAGTTCAGCATTCGCTAACATTTCCTTTGCTTTGCCACAGCCTAATGTTTAATTGCACTAAAATCACTTCTATATGAAATGAAGTTCCCAGTCCAAATTAGCAACATCGGCGCTCTCCTCATTTCCACACTAATGGCTGAGAAAAGACCTCACCTCTTTTCTGCCTTCCTTTTTCTGCCTTCCTTTTTTGCAAATGAACGATGCGTGATGGGCTTCAGCTTTGGCTTTCAAATCTCAGGCAGTTTTTCATTTGCATGCATCTCAAAGGGAAACAATATGAATTTGTTGAGTGAAATTAATAAATTGTGAAGTTTGGGTATGGAGCGACCTCCCTTTCCAAGGACAAAAGGTCCAGTGGCTTGTCATCACGCATGTAATTTTCCAACACTTTGTCTTTTCTGTTGGAAAATTTGTTCTTTCTATAATGAATTGAGCAAATGACTTTAATACTTGTTTAAAAATGGAAAAAGGCTAATTTTTTTCTATTTTACTTTTATGACAACATTCATCCAACATAAATATTTGTCAGATTATTCACTAAAAACATTTTATTTGGAGAATCACTCCTGGGCTGGGTCTGCGTCTGATATATAATGGCCTAGCTGCACTGAGTCAGGATTTAGTGCCAGTGGCTTGTTTTGTTTCCATAGTGCCAAACTTTCTTTTTTGGGTTCAAAAACTGAGGAAAGGAGGAGCCTAGATACTTTACATTGTGAAGACTACAATGCAAGGCCATCTAGATTCTCTGTCATGTGTTAATATCATTGCAGAACTAAGATTTGGGGACTTTTTGGTTCCTGTTCTTTTGTATTTCATAAATTGTGCAATTGAGATCACTTTCTTTTTTAGGCCTGTATCCAGCAGGAGACTTGTGGCCTGCTCAACCAGTCTGTCTGACAAATAGCTTAAATTATAACCTTGAAAACAACATACCATGCATGATCCAGGAATCCCCTTCTGTTCACAACAGGCAAGTTGTTTTTCCTTTAAATATTTTAGGTAACATTTGTCCATCTATTAACTAGGGAAGTATTATTACTGTATTTCAGGGGTCGGCAGTCCCTGGCACACGAGGCCATTTTGCTTGGCACGCCACGGCCAGCCCCAGCTCTGGGTAGCTGCTGCCAGCGATGGAGCCCGGACTGCTCTGAGCAGGGCTTGCAGCGTCCCAGCCTGGCAGCAGCTACAGAGAGCTGGGGCTGGCTGCAGCCGGGAGGCTCCAAACACCTGTGCCAGGCACCGGCACCAGCTCCGCACTGGCGTGTGCAGGTGCACCTCTAAGCGGGTGGTGGGGGCAGGGCCTGAGGCAGCACAGCCCCGATCTCTCCCCCACTCCCGGCATGGAGGTGATGAGCCCGGCACAGCTGTTTGTAGCTAGCCCGCTGCTTGCTGCAGCTGCCCAGAGCCCGGGCTGGCTACAAACGGCTGGCTACAGAGGCTTTGGGCGGAGGGCAAGGGGCACAAGCAGGGCATCCTGCCATGTACCCCTTGCCCTCATTTTGTTTTTCTGCCATGCCGGCACTCTGGCACCTTCCAAGGTAGACATTATGGTGTTTTTTGGCACTCTGGCCAAAGAATGTTGCCTACCCCTGCTGTATTTACTTGCAACACACACACCCTTTCCCCAAAAATTATCCCTCCAAAGTTGGGATTGTTGAGTGGGCAAGCATGGGGACACTGTAATGGCTACTACTTCTCTCCCTTTTCTCCCCTCTGGCAACATGGAGGGAAGGGCAGAAGTCTGGTCTTTAGCATAGTAGCTATAGTTTTAACCCGTTCAGAGCTACTGCTATTCAGTCAAAAGCTGCTACCAGTTTGACAGCAACAGTGGTTGGGTTAAAGCTTGAGCTGCACAGTTTGCAAGGGCAGACTGAGTAATTCTGAAGCAAGACTCTTACTATAGACACATTTTTTATTGATTTTTTTTTTCACTTTCCGCCACATGGTATTGATGTTGTCAGTCTAAGTGGACCAGCTCCTGTACTCATATTTAGAAACTTCAAAATTTAAGATTTTAATTTAATTAAAAGAGTAAGATAAGAATTTAATTCTCCCCGGTTTTAAATAAATCTTGCAAGTTTTAGGGTATGGTGCCAGGCAGCGCTGTCCAGGAATACCTGTTTTGCAAACACTAAGTTCAGAACTGGAAATAGTATAATCATGTTAATGTGGCATGCATCCAGGCTAATTAGCTGTGCCGGGAAACAGGTTTATTAAACCCAGGCACACTGCTGTATTAATATGGCTATATTGCTTCTGGTTCACATTTCATGCAACAGTGCTTTGTGCCATATAGAAATCCCTGCTCTGTTTCTCATTTTTCTCTTTGAGGGGGATTGGGTGTCTCCCTTTCAAACATGCTTTCCTGTTGCTATAACCAGGAATCCTTCACCAGGTGGGTGAACTACAGCATGCACTAGGGTGTGTATAAGATACAAATACCCTGGATGAAGGTAATAAACACATGAGTGTTACGTGGACTTTTTTGGACATTTCCTAGACTTGAGGATTGAGCTTTCTGCAGTGCTAAACTTCAGACAGGAAGAACCATATTCCCTACAACCTTACCTCTGTGCTGTAAACTGAAGGAAAGAAAAGCTCGCAGTTTGCATTGCAGCTGTCCATGAGCTAGGAACTGTATCTCACTGTTCCAAGCCCATGCAGCAAAATATCTTTTTTTTTTCCCCTTTACAAACTATGGTTTAAGTAATGTTAAGGTTATGACTCAGGTGTTCTTAAGCAAAGAACTCTTCTTGGAGAACCTTCCTAAAGTATTTCAGTTATTTTATTCTTAAGTTAATACAGTAACAGATACACATTTATGATAGGGTTTCTCATTTGCCAGGAGTCTGATGTTGTTTGAAGTGGTAACACTGATAATTGAGTTTGGTTTTTTTTACATTCTTATTTTTTAAATAAATGTTATACTAATATTTTAAAATTAAAGACAATTTTGTTTTATTAATCTAAGCACCTTACTAATCAAATATTTATTTCACTTTATACATATCATTTCCATGGCATGTTATATTAAATTACTTTACATTGTATTTCATAAAAAACAATTAAGCCTAATATCTCCTATGGGGTAGGAATATATTGTAATTCCATTTTTTCAGGTGGGAAAGCTGAGGCTTAGAAGCGTGTGACTTTAAAGTGATCCAGGAAGCTTGGAGGAGAGTCAGAATCAGTCCACACAGTCCGACTACCGGCTCTGTACTTTAGTCGCAAATGTGTTGTCTCTCTTCTGGGGCAAACATAAAACAGTGCTCATTAGTAGAATCGTTATGGGTTCATTACAATACAATTCCGATTAGTAGCTGTTTTCTGCTATTATTTAGTTGATGTGTATGAAGCACAATTGCTCATCACAAGCGGTTGTCATCTAAAAAGTATACAGTGTATGAAAGGTGTTCATTCAAGCTTTACTTTCATAAAGCTCTGCATGGAATTTCTGATTTTTGTTTTTGTTGTAATAGTTTCATTGATTGGAATGCAGCTTGTGATGGCCAGTTTACCAATATGTATTGTCCAGTAGAGATGAATGAGTACAATGCTTTTCCAGAAGGTAAGAATGCTGGAAGATTTCCAAAATATGCATAAGACTCTTCTTTTCTCTCTCCCTCAGCAAAGCAATGATGATTCATTCAGATAGATGGATGGCTGAACAACAGGCTATTAGAGACCTATCTTGCTAATGTGCTTAAAATAGACAAGGAGAGATTATTTATTTTCTTACTATTTTCATAAACTCTGTATGGAATTTCTGCAACTAAATTTTTCTTTTTGTTATAGTAGCTTCATTGATTACAAGGCAACTTGTGATAGCCAGTTCCATAACATGTAGCAATCAATGAGAGAAATGGCCACAGACCCAAGCTGCTATTTCAGGTCACATTGTTTTAAGTCCCGCACTACTAAAAAAGAGGGACTTACTATCTAGAAGAGCCTCTGTTTCTCAATATACAAGACAGAAGCTGTGAAAGAGAAGGTGATGCTCATCCCTTGGGAATTGGGGCCTAGGGAGAGTAAGTGTCTTAATGTGTGGCAGACTCAGGAGTTAGAGCGTTGGTCTTGTGATTCTCATTCCAGTGTCTGTCACCTTTCCTCCCTTGCATGCAACATTTCCAGTACCCTCAATTAACTTCCTAATTTGGGGACAGCACAAAAAGTTTTTTGACTTGCTTGTCTAAAACCTGGAGTGCAGCATTTGCTTAAAGGCCTGACTTTGGTCCCATTTATGCCAGTTTTTCAGTTCATGTAACTCACTGTCTTTCATAGAATTAGACTTGACTTAGAACAGTATAATCTGGTGTAGACTGTTCTTTATCTGCAGTCCTCTCACAAGGCCCTACTCCCTTCAAATAAATCTCCAGCCTAAAACTGCAGCAATACTGATTGTCAGTGATGGAGTTAAAATAGATGTCTGAATGGAGAGTCTAATGCGTGTTCTCCAGACAGGCATGGTATTATACAGTAGCAAGTGATGTATGCATGATGGAGAGAGCAGGATGACATGGGGAGTCTCGAGCAAAAACCGGCCTTCTACCACCAGTACCTGTCAGAGGAGGAACAAAATGCAGAATCAGAGTGCTGATGGAAATGACGATGGATTGGGCATCCTCTTTTTGTTCCCACTCTAATGTTACTGCTCGCGTGACCTTCAGAATGTCTCTGACTAGCTTCTTTCCCTCGATATGAGTTATTTTTAAAGTTTCCCAGAGGCATTACCAAATAAATAACTGAAAGTTGACCTACATTGACCCAGGATTTCATGTAACAGAGATGTCTTGGGAGGTGAAAGCTGAGGTACTTTGACAAGGAAGCATGAAGAAATTTTTGCTCTTCTGTTTCATAGGCACACAAATAAGTTACTGCAAGGTAAATGAGAGCAGGGATTTGTAGTGTGTCACCCGCTCCATAGAAGCTGCCCCTATGGACACTCTTACCCCAGAGAAAGCGGAGGCTCTTTCTTTGAGGGGCAGTCTATTACACGCTCACTCTCTTTTACCATAGGGTAAAGGAGATGAGCGTGAGCTGTTATCACAGAGGACTTAGCATGCTGCAAATTCTCACCCTCAGGTTCATTGCAGTTGTGTTCAGGGATCCATGTCTTACTCTGGCTGAGAAATGCAGTCTCCAGCAGCCCCGGGGTAAAAAAAATATCACATAGCTGTTACCTAGTCCTCCATGCTACCGAGTTAACTGTGGCCTCAATAGTGTCTCATAAAAATGATATTCCTGTTGGCAGAAATATGCAAGTATTACATGCAGATGATTTGCTCTTTTTCCATTGAATTATCTATGATTGATGAAAGCCTACCTGTAATTCTGGCACTTCTCATAATAGGGCAGTTCAGCTTCATACGCAGAAAGTTGTCTTGTATACAATGCACAGATTTTACTTTGTTCCCTACGTTTCTTACTGTAGAAAACATGAATTATGCCAGTGGCTTCCCATGTACTGCAGAAGTACAAAATACAGCCTTCCTTGATCACAGCTGTCAGTCTACCTGGAGTGCCCCACCCAACATGCCTCCTACCTGGGAGCCAGCTAGTTATGTCAACTCCTCAGTGAGTATTCCTGTTACAAGATGTTGCCGTATTGTGCCTCACTGAAATGTTCTTCATATACTATTTGCATTTCCATCTTTATCTCGCTTGCCTGCTCTTGCGTCACACTTCTGTATAGTAGAGGCCAAGGTATTTGATGTAACTTGTGTTGGCATTATCCGTGGCATGCCCTCAGTACTGGGCTAAGTTTCCTATCCAATTTTGCTTACAAAATCTTGCGACGATATTTTGCCCAAAAAGTGTCTTGCACCCACTAAAGAATAGAAATGCACGTAGGTTTTCAAACAATCTATTTTGACTTTTTTTCTAGCAAGAAGAAGACTCTGCAATAAGAAGTACTGACCAAACATAAAAATCTATAGCTAAAAAAATCCAAAAGGGAAGTTGCAGTTGCAGTTTCTGGCATGCACAGTAACTGCCTCATACAAACCCACACTGATTTCATCTGTTATGTGCATGAGGCCCCTGACACGCTACATTTAAGACACAATTAACAGGTTAATTGTGCCTTAAATAGCGACCTGGCTACACATGCACGTCAATATAAGGCAACCCCAGGGTCTGGGGCACAGCTGTCCCCTAGCAGATGGGGAGGAGGTGTGCAGTGATCTTGGAATTGAAGAGC